ACTCTCTGAGGAAATTACTGATCCTGACAGCAAGTATGTGGCTCTGGGAATCACTGTTTTGCTCTTGGGTCTGCTTGTATGTCTACCATACCCCTTTCCTTTTACAACTGAAACTGAAGCCTTGATGAACTTATAGTATTTGATGATTTTCTCATACATATTCCCCTAGTGAGAAATAAAAAACCTAAACTAAAGTTGTCCACGAAATGACTTGTTTAGGGGATTACAGTGAGGTATAGTTTTATAGTTTGTAACATATGTGAGCCTGAAAATCAGTCTATTCAATGTATTTTCCTGCAACTTAATTCATTAGTCGTCAATTATAATTACATGCTAACAGTTGTTGTTCTTTTTCTTTTCTGCTTTTTTAATCTATGCCTTTTTTTTTATTTTCTGTCTAAGAACTTATAGCCTATCGTCAAGACATCAGGTATCTCTCTTACTTCATTGTAGAAAATATCTTGTTTTTTCTTAATTGTTTTTAGAAATGCTAACAAGCAACTCACCTAAAAAGTCATGTTGGTCTAATATGAGGTGAAGGTTCATATTTTCTGAGTGGAACTTGCTAAATTATTAAAGCTTTTTATATCAGGGAATGAGAACAAGATCGAGATAAAACATCAGCAACTACATAGATCAGTCCGGTAAAACAAGAGCTATCAATCAAAGCTTCATGCTAAACACACACTTTACAAGAACAAAAACAACAACCACCTAAGCAATAAATCGCTCACTATGCAAACATAGTAACAACAGTAGGTTCCTACTTTGTCCTACCGCATAAAATTAAACCCTTAGATATGCTCTCTAGTTGCATAGAGATTCACAACAACATCTTTAGTCTCCAGCCGCTCTGCTGGCCAAGGAACATGTGACTCCTAATAGTTGCCTCCTGTATAGCAGTGTTTACCGAATAATCCAGTCTGATCGTAGGCTTAATCGACACGATGATAATGACCAAAACAACAACAACGCTATATATGTCAACTACCTAAACTTTTTGGCAAAATATAGCGTCCATTGAGATTAACACAACTGTGTTGAACCATGAACGAGTCACTTCGAAATTTATTAGGTTATACTTCTGAGGATTTTAAAAGAAAAGGACCTGAAAGCAGTTAGAAGGTTATCAAAAAGTGAATGACAGATATCTTGAAAACTTAATGGTTTGAAATTTTGCAAAAATATGATTATTGCCCCCAGGATATATATCCACATCATTAAGATTCTCCTCACAGATATTCATAACTGGATTGAGTTCTGTGTCTACAATAAATGTAATGGTTTTACACATTTTATGAAACCTTCCTGCACACTAAAACTACTTATAGTCTCATGCTATTTTATGGTGTTTCAAAGAATGCGTACCTGGAGCAACGTATCCTATGGATCCCTTTAAAGTGATTGAAGAATTGGTATGCATTGGTCTAGAAATGATAGATGAGTCAGACACAACCTTTGCTAAACCAAAATCACCAATGTGCGCGGTCATGTCTTTGTCTAGAAGGACATTGCTTGGCTTCAAATCGCTATGAATGATTGTTGTTTCTGAGTGATGGCGAAGGTACTCCATCGCAGAAATGACATCAATGGCTATATTTAGTCTTTGGATAAGACTAAGATTCCTTTACTTCTTTTCTTCTTCTGTGCTTGGATGCAACCAGCTTTCCAAGTTTCCATTAGGCATGAATTCAAATATGAGAGCTTTGAAATCATTACCTTGAAAGTCTACAGTTGAGCAGGAAGTAAAGACTTGAAGGAGATTTCGGTGTCGGATGTTTTTTAATGCTTCATATTCAGATACAAAACTCCTTGCTGCTCCTTTTTGTTGAAGATTTAGCATCTTAACAGCAACAGCTGTTTGATCCTTTTCTAGAACACCTTTATACACAGAGCCGTAGCTTCAAATGCCAATCAAATTTTCTGCAGAGAAACACTGGTGCCCTTTGGATCTCTCCGTAGGAAATTCTTAAATGTCGATTCCCAAAAGGGAATGTCAATGAAGGTTTTCTTCTTGACTTTCTTTTCAAATATAAACAAACAAAGACAGCTAGAGAACAATTGCTATTACTGTAATGATAACTTTGAAGGATAGTGATTTTCCATGTCTTCCAGGTTCTCCAAATGGGCAAGCTAGCAACTGAAGTTTAGGATTGCCACCACAAAGCTTAGAGTTCCCAGATACTGAAAATAAACTCAGATTCCCAAAGATTCCATCTGCTGGCACATCACCCTCAAGGTCATTGAAAGAAAGATTTAAGTGCCTCATATTGGACATGGTCTCAAGACCTTTTGGAATCCTGCCAGATAAATTATTATGTGAAAGATCTAACTCCTGAATTCCTTTCAAAGAACTCAACGATGAAGGGATGTTTCCTTCAAATAAGTTGCCTGCCAGAGAAAGTCGTTCTCATGACAAACAATCACCAAGCGATGTGGGAATTTGACCTGATAATTTGTTTTCGGACACATCCAATTCCTCAAGATTTTTCAAGCTGCCGATTTCGAATGGAATGGAACCAGTTAGGGAATCATGTGCTAAATCGAGCTTAATCAAACGGGAAGAAAAACTTATGACCTCTTGGTCGATCAAACCACTAAGATTATTTCTAGAAAGATTCAATATGAACAGCTGACTTAGTGTCCAAAGATTTGAAGGAAGGTTTCCTTTGAAATTGTTCTGTTCTAAATAAAGTCGGTACAACTGTGTGAGATTTCCCAAGGAGGATGGGATTTTCCTGACAACCTGTTCTTGTTTAGACCCAATTGTCGTAGATTCTTAAGCTTCCCAATACTCTGAGGAACACTACCAGTGAAGAAATTGTCTTCTAGGTCTAGAAAAGCCAAGTTAAAAAGGTTCTCAAATCCTAGAGGGATGCTTCCAACAAGATTTGCATTTGTGTCGAGAGATTGGTGACAGAGTTGGTCAACATGCCACCGAAGTTATTTGCATCTAGACCTAGTCTCTGTAGATTACTGCAGTTAGTCAAAGAAGTGAAGAAACCAAAATCATTATCTTTGCCATGCTCGAGAGTATTTACGCCTAAGTTTAAAAACCATAGATGTTCTAGGCCACCAAACTCGATAGGAATGGGTCCAGCAAAATAGTTGTCAGAAATATCGAGAATTCGAAGTCCTGAAGAGTTGGACAGTGAAGCTGGAATGTGCCCTGTAAATTTGTTTGAAGCAATGGCAAGTATATATGTATATTAGGAAGACTGAAGCTTATGTCAAAGGGGAGACTGCCTGAAAAGTTGTTAGCTGGAATAACTATATCTGTAAGCAAAGAAAGATTGTAGAGCCATTGAGGAACTATACCAGACAATTTATTACATGTTACGCATATATATGTTTGATATAATACATGTTAGTAATATCATATTAACTTTGAATCAAATTTCTTTTTTCAAAATAAAATCTCAAAAAACCCTTGTATTGTTGAGAAAATATTTGTACTTATATTTAAATTTCATAAGAGCCAATATTTTTTTTTTATTATTCAGTTAACAATATTTGCTAAAATAGCACAAATAGATGATTAGATATGGACTACTAAAAAAATAAATAAATA